AGCAAGACGACGTAGTGCTGAGCAGGACGACGTAGTGCTGAGCAGGACGACGTAGTGCTGAGCAGGACGACGTAGTGCTGAGCAGGACGACGTAGTGCTCAGCAGGACGACGTAGTGCTCAGCAGGACGACGTAGTGCTCAGCAGGACGACGTAGTGCTCAGCAGGACGACGTAGTGCTCAGCAGGACGACGTAATGCTCAGCAGTCTCATATAAACTGTATTAGAAGTGTTGTAGCCTTGAGAAATAGCTATTACTTCATGGCAACAACTGTCAAAATAAAGCCACAGTGCTCAATAAGACCACTAAGTAACGCTTTCCTAATCTACTTTAAATTAAATAATATTCCTATACAAATGTTGATAGCTTTTTGAACTCTTCGACATGTCTGTTAACATGAGTTTACTTGTTTATTACGATGTTCTTTTTTTCATCGATTAAAATACAAAAAATCTAAAGATGACTTATATGTTTAATAACAAAACAGCAAGAAAAAAATGCCTATTTATATAATGACAATACAAATGGAATTTTATTTTGTTAATTTATCAGCTATTGCTGCCCTTTTTCGTATTACATATGGGCTGCTTTTTTGCTCATAAACACGACGTTTTCTGGTTCGCTTTTGTGCAGCTGTTGTAAGAGATTTTGATGGTGACGCGTTACATAACATTACTGAAGACGATGATTCAAGAGTCGTTGTTATATTCGAAGGTTGTTGTTGTGTTTGACAAATGTTCCTGAAAAAAAAGGTTGGAAGAAAAATACACAAAAAGAGTAGAGCTTAGTTTAGCAAATTACGTGTCAACACTTACGCTGCTTGATAAACAACATGATTCTCTTTATAGAAATCACTTGAATTTATATAACCAGTTGTATCTGGTTGTACACGTTGTGAAGTTGGGAGGTTTTTTGTTGGTATTATTGGTGGCTCAAAAATAACTTGTATTTTATTTCTTTGAAAAAAAGAAAAAGAAAAAACCGATAAAATGAATCGATTTAATGTTACATCATGCACGATTTAGTACCATGCAGTCGGATAAAATCTATCATCTATTGTAGTCTATAGAAAAAATAAAGCTCCTTACTGATGAAGTTTATTAGTAGTAATAGATGATGAGTCGTCGATACTGATGTTGTTGTCATTTTGAAAATTTCCTGAAAGACGTTCATAGTCTTTATTGTCACAAACGAATTTATGTTCATTTGATAGTCGGTCATCAATTGACCTTCGAAAAGAAGACAAATACGAAGATTAAATTTATTGATATATTGATATTGAGTTTTTATTTGTTTATTTACTCAATATCAGAACCTGAAGGTTCATCACCATCAAGTACTTCTCGAATAACATGATCTCGAATAACTTTATGAATAGTTTTTATTCTTCTTTCACTGATATCATAATTTGCAATATTAAATACGGTCCAAATTGTTTTCCATCCCGGCAACAAACCAGTTTTGTCCCAACGGACTAAGAATTGATGAATAATTTTTCGACATTCATTTGTTGATGTTAATATTCTAAGATCACGATCTATTAATGAGATAAATGGAGAGAAAAGATAGACATATAATATGAGATATTGTTTAGAAAAAAATTGGAAAGTAGGCACTTACCAGCTTTACTAAAAGTACCACCACTACTAACTTTTACACGTACTTCATCATCTCTATTTGGTTTCATTATCCAATAATATCTTTTTTGACTATGTGTTCCTTTATGCCATACAATATTTTGATTTGATGGAAACCCTTTTGAAATCATTTCTTCAAGAGATATTGATACATCAGCTCTAGCTGCTGGATATACTTGGCTATATTGAGGAATGATATTCAAGCATTTACGCACCAAACCATCTAGAACAAAATGAAAGACAATACTAGTGAGACCAGTCATAAATTTCAAAAGAAATAGTACGATCATGAAGATTCCTTACCGAAATCACCCAAATCCGTGAATTTGAAGCGTGATCGAATCATATTTTTGAGTAGTAATGAAGATGATATTAAATTATTATTAATGAAGAGGTGAGATGCAATAGAAAGAGGAAAAACAGTTAAATCTGAAAAATAAATATGTAAATAACGTAATTATATTTGGTAAACAAGAAAGGAACATGTGAACAATACCAAAGCGAGCATTATAAAAAACTTTATGTACATAAAAAATGTTCTTGTAATCAGAACAACACTTAATTGAATATACACGTTGTTTTTTCTTATTCTTTTTTACAAGAACAATAGGAAACATTTGTTAAAGAACTAATATACTCGAATGTTTAAAAGCAAATTATTTCATTTCTTCTTTTTTGTTTTCTTTTTGAAAGGTAAAGGTTCACCAACTAAAAATGATAAACCATAAATTAAGTCATTTAATGTTTTCTTATTGTTAGCAAAGAGTTGATGAAGTTTGACGATTTGACTGGTTTTTTTAACTGCTTGTCTTGCCCGCTTTCGCCGAGTAGCTGCAAAACCATTAGTACCACCTGTCAAGTTATGAATATTTTTTTGAATAATATTGTATTCTTCATTTTTCAATGTATGGATAAATTTCCAAATGTTTGGATGTGTGTGTACCATTCTACTGGAGAATCGACGATTATATGCTTAAAACATAAAACAGAAAAAGATTGTTAATAGCATTTTGTAATTTTTAAACTGATATTTCATTTACCTTCGCAACTGTTGTTTGTTCTAATTGCCGAATCGGCTACACACCAAAGATCTGATCCCATATCTATCATCCATTGTTGTTTAAAATATTCGATGAACGATTGTATACGACCATCACTATTTTTACATAATAATTTAAAACATTTTTTTACTTGATTACGTGGAAGTAATGCTAAACCCAAAAATTTTCGAAGTGCTAATCTAACATCTGGTTCATCTTCATATAATTTAGATAAGCCGAGTCGTTGGATATTTCGATAGCATGATTGTGTAAAGTGAAAGAAACATCCTAATCGAACAACATTCGGCAACTAAATAAGTAAAAAAAACATAGTTTTCTCTTATAAAAGTTATATTCATACCGCCTAGTACCGTGTAAAACGAAATAACTTACCATTTCTTCCACAGTCAGCAACCAAGCTTCTTCATAATCAGAGACAATCGTTTCTACAGGCAAAAGCTTGTTTCGATCAGCCGCCAAATGCAAAATAACTTTAATCATTTCTTCATATGTTTTACGTTTACGATTGGATGTCAGAGCATATATAGCTGGAAAAACTGAAACAAAGAAAAGGACGAAGCACGTCGTTTATTAAAAAAAATCTACGTTTTAACTCACCTTCGTCACCAACAAGACATTGAATAATATAAACTTGTGAAAACATAATTGGTCTTGTCTTGAATGTCCCATCACAAAACCAAGTTGAACTATTCAATAATAAATCAATTTGTTCGTTCGAACTAAACATAATTAATCGACCACCAACTCTCTTTCGTTGTATATCAGCAATAAGAAATTTTCCTCCAGACCATGTGTGTTGATATAGTAATGGAATTTCGAAGTCAAGTGATAATGGTAGACATGGAATATTTTTTCTTCGATGTTTTTGTAAAGCTGATTCTAATAAATAAAAAGGAGACAAAAAGAAAACATTAAGAAATGGTTTATCTATTTCATTCTAGTCAGAACATACCCATTTGAGAAGGAAGAGGCATAGCCGCTAATTGACTTTTATCCAATTTTGCATTACGAATTTCTTCTTCAGCTATACTAACCACTGGATAAGGTTCAACTAAAACCCTTGCTTTAATTTTTGAAATTATGTTTTTAATTAATTCTCGACTTCTGTTGGGAGGATGGTGATGATAGGCACCATTCCAGTAAATAAAACTATCATCTATATTATTCGTGTGAATAGTTACGGGACAGGTTGGTGTACGGATAACACATCTCCATCGAGTCGCAGTTGCATTTTTTTCTTTCACTTGATAAGTATATCCACACATATAAAGTTCTCGACCACCTCTATTTGTTCGTCCAAATGTTATATTGTTTTTATCGACGATATCATAACATTCATTATCAGAATATGCATTTAATTCAGGTTCTGAATCAGAATCTTTGTTGACGTGTTTATGAAATATAAAAAGTGCTTGTTCCAGCTCTTGATCATCATCATTTGGTGTTAAAAACTTTGAAACCTTCAATAACTCGTGTGCATCAGGAGAAGGAATTTGGATCATAATAATATCATTAATTTCTTAAAATAAAGAAATACAGGCATATCCATTTATTATAGAATTTCTTACCGATTATTAAATGTATGATAATGGTGTTCACAAAGAGAAGGAGAAAACGACTACTTGTTATTTTTTTTACATCAGGGGACAAGACAAGTCATATACACCACTCGCTGATAATAACAAATATGCGCAAGAGAAAAGATAGGATATATATAGTTGGGTGCACAAAGAAATAAAAGAATGAATAGATCGAGTGATATCGTATAACAAAGAAGCTGCCTATTTGATGCTGATGACTGAATGTTATCACCGTCCGATATTTGTTCACTGTATATCGAGGACTCGAACTGTTTCTAAACAAAATAGACGAATAAGCTTACATATATAGCTAAGAAGAAGGATAACAAGACATATGTACACGCTATAAATGATGATATCGATGCGACTAATATATCTGACGTGTTATACAAAAGAAGTCTAGGGCAGAAAACAAATCAAGTGTTACCTGGCATTATCAATGATAATGCATAAAAAAATAACATTACATATATTTGAATATCTAGAAGAAAAATATTAAGAGAAAAGAATAGATGTCGACTTATGGCAAGTGAAAAATACAATAAATTAGCAAGAAACAAAAAATCGACAATGTAAATAAGTAGTGTTAGATCAAACTTGTAATATGTTAAAAATCTTGTATAGCTCTTTATCTTAAAATATAACGAGAAAAATTTGATAGAAGTCCATTAAACGCTCTATCGACCATGCGCACATATTCATGTTTGTCTATCCCCGGTGTTGTCAGTTATCAAGTAATTTGTTCATTAGTCTAACCACTACTTTTATAATCTATAGCTCGAATTAAATTTCAACTATATAATTTAAACGCTACTTTTTGTCTACTTACACACTGGGCTGTCTTTCGAAATGCAGTAGACTTGATAGGATGCTATAACTATAAAGTGATGTAAAATCACCTTGCTCAGCACTATGTCGTACTGCTGAGCATTACGTCGTTCTGCTCAGCACTACGTCGTTCTGCTCAGCACTACGTCGTTCTGCTCAGCACTACGTCGCTCTGCTCAGCACTACGTCGTTTTGCTCAGCACTACGTCGCTCTGCTCAGCACTACGTCGTTCTGCTCAGCACTACGTCGTTCTGCTCAGCACTACGTCATTCTGCTCAGCACTA